ATCAGTCCTCGCAGAATACGAGGACGAGGCGCAAAATGGTACGCAGTACCACCACCAACGTAACTCATCGCAGAACACCATCAAGGAAATGCAATGGCCCGAGCCTCCCCAGACTCTACGTCATCAGACTTCCACCACGTCCAGCAGCACGATCAAGGCGGGCTCGCATACACCGTCCGAAGGGCGTCCGGGGTCATTGGCCGGCGGACGAAACCACAGTCGAAGTAACTCTCGACACCTCGATTTGCCGCTTTCCTCGTCACGAAACGGATCCGTGCCGTCGTCACGGGCAAGCAGCTTAAGGAGGTCCAGAGTGGCCCAGGAGATGCCGCAGTCAGAGGCGAAGCATGAGCGAATTCTGCTGTACCTGGACCGACCTGTCGGCAACGTCAACTCGATGGATTTTGCCGAACCGAGCCCAGACCTGAGTGACTTCATGGATTTTGACAACGGTAGTGAAGAGGAGGAGGAACCGTCAATGTTTCGGCCACGCCTTCAGGGGTTTGGCGTGCCAAACAAGGGGCGAGGACGTATGCTGAGGACGAGCGAGCGGGGACGTCACGACTCTTCCCCTTTGAGACCTCGCAACCTCGCAGAAGTTCCGGGGCAGATCCACGTGGTTGAGTCTGAGAGCGATGTCGAGCCGATGGCGGGGATTCCGAGACCAGACTCTCCTGTCTCACCCGAAGGGACTCTTCCCCTGCCCAACCATGGGCTGTTGAAGAAGAAGGCCGTTCGGCTGAGTGCCGTCGGCAACGCTGGTGGTGTCGAAGCCGGCTGGTGGGGAGACGATGGTTGATGGCTGAAACGAGGGAACAGAAGCTTGCCGCACATGGTTCGGATAATCTCTTCTTGATACCCTGCACATGACTAATTTTCTTTGTTAATGATCGATCTTGTACAAATCTTGGACTGGATACAGGAGGCGTGGTGTTTCTGGTTTGGAGCGGGAAAGGGTAATCCTCATTCGGAATGAAGCGGGAGGATGTTTGCATGAGCCATCGTCTGTTTTTTTGCGTGCTTTATTCTTTCCCCTTACTTGCTCCGCAAACGGAGCCGAAGGCATAACGCTTGAGTCGTTTCGTTGACCTGTAATATTATTACAAGACATGCTTGATGGCGGCATAATGTTTTTGGATGGAACAAATGACGGACGTTGAAGTCGAAGGGAAAGGAGGTTAAGGAAAGTTCAGAGAGACTTTTGGGAAGGTGCCTTAGACACCCACCATCCTTCCATATATACCAACAATCCATTACATTATGAACATTTCCTTAGGTTCCGGCAATTGTCCAATCGCCACCTGACAACAGTCAAGCCTTCTCTGCTGTGCTCAGTTTTATGTGCCCTTCATTGTCATATGACCCACTGGCCTACAAGACAATAGCATCACACCCCTGCATTGCCACACATTTGAGAAAGTGAACCACAAGCAAACTTGAATTCATGCTTTGCGAGGGCATTTCCCGCCCGTCACTGAATTGAGTGAGATAAAGTACTAGTACATATTGTCACATCCGGTGGTTTTCCCCGTTTAGTGATCCATCAACGCCGGCTCCATCCTCCATAATCATTTCTGTCCAGCTGCCTCATCAAAGGTATCAAGTACAGTGTCCTTCAGATCCTTATCCTCGTTGCCCTCAGACTCTTGCGAGTCGTGGTTGACAACCTGCTTCGCCATTGTCCTGGCCTGCGCCTCGCCAACCTTGCCGTAAACACTGAGACCGGTGGCAATCATGCCGCCGATGTCACCCACGTTGCCAGGAACAACAACAGCCGTGCTCTCCTTGGCCAACTTGGCAAAGGCGTCCACGTACTTCTCAGCGACGGACAAGCTTACGGCGCCCTTGGCCGCATCCTCGCCATCGGCAATGCTCTTTGCAATAGCATCGATACCAGCTGCCGTGGCCTTGGCCTTCATGAGGATGGCCTCGGCCTCACCGGACGCCCTGTTGATCTGCTCGGAGCGCATGGCCTCGGAAGCGAGAATCACACTCTGCTTCTTACCCTCGGCGATGTTGATAGCGGACTGGCGCTGACCTTCGGAGTCCAGAATCTCGGCTCGCTTCGATCGCTCGGCAGTGACCTGTCGGTGCATGGCTTCAACGACGCCAGCAGGAGCGTGGATGTCACGAATCTCGTATCGCAGACATGTGACGCCCCAAGCCTGAGCTGCCTCGTTAATGGCTTGGGTGATGTTGGTGTTGAGAGCTGCGCGCTCCTTGAGGACGTGGTCGAGGGTCAGTTGACCGATCTCGGATCGCATCGTGGTCTGCGCCAGCTGGGAGATGGCGTATTCGGCATCTTCGACCCCATAACTGCCAGACGGTCAGGTTAGTAAGGCTATCTCTGACGAAAGGAGTCAAGACGTATGGGAAATAGCGTACCTGGCCTTGTAGGCGTCAAAGACGCGCGTGTATAGAACACCGTCCAGCTCAAGGGTGACGTTGTCGGCGGTGATGGCGCTTTGGCTGGGTATTTCGATGGCGATTTCCTTCAATGACTTGACATAGGAAATGCGATCGATGAAGGGAACGAGAATAGCCAGACCGGGTTCGAGGATGCGGTTGAACTTTCCCATGCGCTCGACAATCCATGCCGTCTGCTGAGGGACGAAGCGGATGACGGTGTTTGCGGGGAGGGAAGGCTTCTGGAAGTAGGATGGAGGAATGCTGGAACCGATGCCGAAGCTCGAGGGGAGCAGACTCTTGGTGCTCGTCTGAAAGCTGCGCGACTGCGCGAATGCCCGCCGCAGAGGCGGGGAGAGGACCGCCTTGGTTACCGCCGAAGCCATCTTTGCTGCTGCAGCATTGGCCTAAGATCGAATTGGACTGCGTGGATCACAAATGGAGGTTGCAAGCTCCGGGGGGGCCAGCTCTCTCATCAGCTAAGGTAAGCACCGTGGGCCGTGGGTCGTTGGTCGGCGCTGCGGAAACAAGACGAGAAAAAAAAAAAAAAAAGACCACTGCATTCCATTGATGACGGAGGCGGCAGCTGCCTGCCGACATTTAGCCGGCGGAAGGGGCCGAGGCCCACCAGGAAGGTGGGTGTGATGCTCCCGTCCACGCAAACGCTCAAGTGCGAGCGATTCAGGACGTGATTCAAGGAATGGCTTCCCGGAATGAAGTATGCAACCTTCTGCTACGCCAATGCACAGGGAATATGCCACGACAGTACCAGAAGGATGGATTAGTTTCTTCGTCAATTATGGCAGCCTGCTCCAATTGATGGATTTACACTTGCAGCAGAATTCGCTGCCAGACGTACATGCTTCGATAAGTCTACATAGTTCCATCACTCTCACACCGCATGTAATAAGGTAGCCTGCCTGACCGACCAGGTGTGAAAGGCGTCAAGCAACGAGGGTTCCAGTACAAGCGCCAGACGGGCGGTAAAGGACCAATGACAAGTGGCGCCTTGCATCAACGCAAGTCAGGCCATGCAAATTTCAGGGCGATTTCACTTGGGATGAAAACACAGGGTAGATATGGCAAGATGGTAAAGGCACGTGTGTCCGGTCCTTCAGCCCCTAAACTTACCTGGAATTCACCGGCACATTCATATCAGTACGGCAGTAACACCTCGTCTGCCGTTGCTCTCTGAGCAAAACAAATCGAAAGCAAGGATTGAGTCTTGAGGAAAAAGTCGTCATCATTGAGCCATACTACCCATGCCATGTGTATCGAGAATCAGCCTACCCAGCCCATCCGTACCTTCTTTCGCGCACTCCAGAAATCATGAAATCGGGCTACTGGTATACGGAGCCTTCGGGAGGCTGAGGGATCTTCTTGTTGGCAGGAGCAGCCATGTATCTGGAACTGTGTCAGTAATGCCTCGGAGATTTCCACACCCTGTGTGCAGACGCACCTTCTGAGCTCGATCAGGATGGTCTCCATAGTGTTGTCTCTCTTCCAGCCGGCAAGGCAAGGCAACTGCTTGGGGTCGACGACGCCATTGCGAGGGTTCACGCAAGGCAGGTTGACCTGGCTAACAAACTGTATCGTGGGAGGCTCATCGGGGTAGTTGGGACCGCAATGCATCTTGAGGGAGTAGATTCGGTTCTCGTGGACGCTCTATCCAAGGACTGTCAGTCGCTGTCTTGTTTGCGATGGGGTTTCAAGGGTGTACTAACGTGAGGGGGTCCCAGAATGGTGCCGTTCCAGTCGGACATGAGAAGATCCTCGGCATCATTAAGACCGTAGGAGCAAGCCTCTGCAAGTTGGGGGGTCAGTCAGAATGCGCGGGGCAACTGGGAACGATCACATGGATTGCAAGTACCTGCTCCGAGACCCTTCTCGCCCTTCTCGAGCTCCTCGAGGAGTCTAAAGTTGCGCGGGACCTTTGCGCCCATGATTGCTGGTGTACAGATGTCGTGGGGAGGACGGTTGGTGTAGGATGAAAAAGAACGTAGAGTACGATGGCCTTGATGGAGGGGTTACAAAGTGGGAGGGAGACACTGGACCTGACATGCACTGGATGGAGCGAGCGTGAGAGAGGCCCGGCCTTACCTAACTGTCGGGTAGGTAGACCCGCAAGCGGTGTCTGGCTGTCGTATTCACACTGGACCTTCTTAGCGGCCTAGTTGAGAGACACAGCAGCGCCTGTACCTGAAGGGCACCAATGCTGCTGGCAAACAGCGCCTGAGGTCAGCTTACCTTAGTTGCCGGACGCACGAGCCAACGCGGGGCACTGGCAAGGCGGTGAGCGTCGTGCCGTTTCTGCCAAGGCGTCCGCGTGAGAAGAGTGGGTACCTTCAATGCGGGTTGACGGCCTTAGTCATCATTCAAGGTGGACAGCTCACCTCAATCGGGAGCTCTGGATGGACACCGAACATCGCAGTGAGATAGCTCCCTTGGCCTTTTCAGGAGAGGTTGCACGCTCTCTTTCCTCAACACTTCATTAAACAGCAGACAGATTGTCATTTTCAGACTCGCCCGTCGTTCAAGTCTCATTTGGCGCATTCTCTCGATAATGGACTGCCCCTGGGGCCACTCGTGACAGAATGACGACCCAGCTCCTAGCTACGGAGCTAACGAACCTCATCCAAGAAAGCAAACGGAAGCACAATGACCTCCGACAAGTACATGACCCCGAACAAGACATGGCCGATGTGCAATGCTGATTTGTAACCATAAGGCTGCTGAAAAGTCACTCGATGAGTTGAAAAGCCTCAAGGGAGCCAACGAAGCTCAAGCTGCCAACGGTACTTTTCGCTGCCCTACGCGCGGCTTATGATTGTCCGTCGTGGCTGACCTTTGCCCACAGAACTCGCGCAGCGCCCCAACTTTGTTAACCCATTCATAATTGCATGTGGCACCAAAAATGCAAAGTTTACCGGAATCGCCATCGTCTGCCTCCAGAGGCTCATCGTCGCCCGCGCGCTTCCTAGGGGGAAGTTGAACCAGGTCCTCGAAGCCTTGAGAGAGGCCACCTCTGCCGGTCTCGATGTTCAACTCAAAATCCTGCAGGCCCTGCCTTCTCTCTTGCAAAATTATGCCACCGACCTCAAGGGCGACCTTCTCATCACTGCCTTGAACATTTGCTTCATTCTGCAGACCAGCAAGAATGCCATCGTCAACAACACATCGGCTGCTACCCTCCAGCAGTTGGTCGTCTCTGTTTTCGACAAGGTGGTTACCGAAGATAAAGCTGCGACTCCAGGAAGTCCCGCCGGAGAGGCCCCGACTGGCGATGGCGCGGTTGAGCTACGCGCAGCCGCCTTGGATGCCTACAGGGTAGGTTATTTGCTTCCACGACAACAGTTGGTCTTGCTGATCACCTCATAGATATTCAACGACCTCTGTCTCATGACTGAAAACCAACGTCCGGAGTACTTGAGATTCTCCGGCCTTCCTCAGACGTTTGGTCTAGAGCTGATAGAGTCGGTCCTAACCAACCACGCCGCAGTCTTTTCAACCCACAAAGAGCAGGCACACATCCTCCAGATCCGCGTAATGCCCTTCATTATCAGCGCTCTTAAAGGCAGACCAAATTTTGCCACATCTGTCCGCCTTGTTCGGATTCTTTACACACTATTGCGAAGACATATCAACATTCTCCCGGCAGCTAGTGGCGACGCCTTGGACATTTTGACGCATCTACTCGACCAGGACACCGCCGTGTGGAAGCGGGCCCTCTGCCTAGAGGTCTTTAGGGGCATTTTCGCCGAACACGCCCTTATCAGACGGATCTTTGTCAACTACGATGCCAAGGAAGGCGAGAAAAACATTGTCAAACACTTGACAGCGACGTTTGTGAGGCTCAGCACCGAAAAGCCATCTGTTATTGGATTGGGTCACCAGTCAACCATACCTGTGGCGAACCCCTATGCTAGCATCGCATCATCGACCGACCAGGCTATGTTGGAAGCCAGTGGCGTCACTGGTATCATCAGCGGATCTGTTGGTTCGGATGGTTCTAATATCGGAATCAGCACGCAGTGGAGCAATGTCAGAGTTCCGTGCATTGACCAACTGGACAAGACCGAGGCACCGTCTATCCCAGAGTCCTATATTTACAGTCTAACATTGTCCTGCATCTCATCGCTTTCTGAGGGCCTCGCAAAGTTCATTCTTCCCCTGACAGTACCCGGTGAAAGCCGAAGCCGCAAGAGAGGTGGAAAGCAGGAAGCAGGGCGCGACTCCCCAGCACCACCACAGGAGGATGCTGAAGGCCAACGCGGTGCATTGGAACGATCAGCCTCCTTCAAGAAGAACCCGGTTCCAATCAACCCACTTGTCTTGGAAGATCACCCGTTGCACAATGAGGTGAAGATCTGTGCGGCCATCATCGATGAATGCTGGCCAGCGATTCTTGCCACTTGCTCAACCTTCCTCTACGCTGCCATGGACTCCGAGTACTACCACAGTCTCGTCAGAGCGTTCCAGAAGTTCGCTCATGTAGCCGGACTGCTTCAGCTGTCGACTCCGAGAGATGCTTTTTTGACAACGCTTGGAAAGGCCGCCGTCCCTCCAAACGTCTTCACAGCATGCCTCAATGCCGGGACAGCTCGACCAACAACACCCACGCCAACTAACGAAGCTCCTAGCAGCATTTTCAGTAATGCTCGAGGGCTGCTTAGCGTTGACAGCTTAGCGACGCAGTCCACGCCGATCACCGAAAAAGGACGGCAGCAAAGCGTCGATGGAAGCCAGATGACCCTTAACACTCGAAACCTCCTTTGCTTGAGAGCCCTCTTGAACCTCGGAATCGCCCTCGGTCCGACCCTGGGCCCATCCTGGCGCATCATACTCGAGACCTTGCAGCAAGCTGATTTCGTTCTCTTTTCCACGAGTAAGACTCCTGGACGAACGCCTCTCGCCACGAAAGGGACAGATCATCAGGCAGAGGGCGAAGCAAGCGCCCTGTTGTCGAACTTTGCCTCTGAAGTAAGAGCTGTGGAGACAGCTGCCTCAAGACTAATTGAAAGCACGATTGACTTCCCCAATGATGCTTTTGGAGAGGTCGTGACGGCGATATGTAACCTTCTCGAGAGAGCAAACGAAGAGAAGCAAAAGGCCGAGACCGCAAGTCAGCCACAGTCTCCGCAGTCCGGCAGTATGAAACCCCCGGGCCAACATCGCCGAGTGCTCAGCGTTTCTACGACCGCCGCCGCCGGACCAAACCAAGAAGACCACTTCGCCCTCGCCAAGCTAGGTGATATTGCCACAATCAACATTGACCGTCTCCTATCGTACCCACCTGATGTGTCAGGTTGGACGCCGCTGACATCCGAGCTCATCCACATTCTTAACGCGTCTGCAATGAATGCCTCCGTAAGACTGCGCGCTGCAGATATTCTGGTTAGACTGGCCCTCGAGTCGGCTAATGTAGCGGCTACCATGGAACGCGACCAATGTGGGAAAGTGCAGCTTCTCCTCCTAGAGGCACTGCGAGACGCCCTCATGCCTTTGCAGCGGGATGACAGGGAGGTGACTGTGGCTAGCCATGGAACGGATGTCGAAATCCACAAGGTGGTGCTCGAAGGCTTGAAGAACCTGCTCGAGAATTGCGGCGAAACTCTTGTCAGCGGCTGGGAGATCGCCTTTGAAATCATCGGTTCCATCTTCATCGACAAGAAGTTCGCCCCTGGTGAACGCCGGGGTTCTCAAACAGTTGTTCTCATGACACGATCAGCGAAGCTTGTCAGATCTTCGTTCAATTCCCTTCAACTTATCTGTTCTGACTTCCTAGCGTCCCTGCCCAATTCCTGCTTTCTCATACTTGTTGATACCCTATACAAATTCTGCTCGCAAGATGACGATCTCAACATTGCCCTTACGGTAGAGTTGCCCATGTATCAACCTTTTTAACACTCAGCTAATAATTTGCAGACCGTAACGTTTTTCTGGGTACTCTCCGACTTCCTCTCTGGCAAGACGGAGTCCCTGCCCATCACCGCCGATCTGATGCAGGGCTCGAGTATTTCGGATTTAGCTGCGCTTGCCGCAAACTCTGAGCACACGGCGTCGGATGCCGCCCTTTGGATGCTTTTGCTCCTGAGGCTCACGACCGTGACTGCCGATGAGAGGCTGGAGCTTCGAAACAGCGCAATCCAGACACTGCTCAGAATTTTCGACGCGTACGGCGACAAGCTTAGCCCTGAGGCCTGGTCCATCTGCGTCAAGTCCGTGGTTTTCAAACTTCTCTCTTCGATCGAAGATGAGCTCCAAGCTGCTGCCAGTGAAAACTCAGCACACCGCGACCGCAAGGAATGGCACGAGACTGCGGTGGTAGTCTTGAACGGCATCTCTGAACTCCTGGCCACGTATATGGAGCCCCTCTCGACCCATTCCTCCTTCAACGGGCTCTGGCAGGAACTTTTGGGCCACTTCACGACTCTGCTCGACTTCAAGGTTCTCAATATCAACACGGCAACATACAAGGCTCTTGGGAAGGCCATCAAGTTCGAGGAAGAACCGGGCAGGCCAATCTTCGACACGGATACGGTCAATGCCGCGTGGGAAATGTGGTCCCGGGGAACACCAACCTCCCTCGACGAGGACGATGGAAAGAAGGCTGACAACCAGAACTGCTTGATAGCCTACGTCGCCGCCTTCCATGACGTCTACCAGCTAGTTCAGCAGGATCTGACAGTCGACCGAGTGCGCCAGATGCTCACCCTTTTCCGCGAGGCACTGCAACAAGCCACTGTCGGAGCCTATGTCAACGACGTCGAGTACGTCACGCCACTGCAGAATCAGGTTCTCGAAGCCATCAAAATGGTCCGAACAGATCTTGCCGGCGTGCCCTCCGCAATGATCTCCCAGGTGGCAGAGTTCGTCCGCTTAGCATTCTCAGATGAAGCTCTCAAGTCCCACGGCTCCACGAGGAGAACCTACGTCGCAATGTCCAAGGCCAGCATGGCGATTCTGCAGACCCTTATCCTGAAGAACGCTTCCGACGCGGACATCTACTCCAGCGAAGCCTTCTCCGCGGCCCTCTCGGCCCTCTCCAAGCCCGTCATCCTGAAATACGGCTTCCCGATCGTCACAAAGTCAGCACAACCATGGCGCCTGTCCACAAACACCATCCTCGCCGTTCTGGAAGCCACACTCCCGCAGATCCGTAATCTCGAAGTGCCTCGCGAGACCCTGCAGTCCATCTGGCAGATGATTGTCGAAATCGCAGACGGCATCGTCAGCGCAGACACAAACGTCGCCCCGCCGTCCGCCGACCTCGCCGACGACGAGTCGTTCGACATCACGTCCTTCCACAAACTCCGCGAGCTCATCATCCCCTCCCTCGGCGCCGAGGCAATCCCAGACACAACCCGCAAAGCCTACGCCGAATCCCTCTTCCGCACCACAATCATCCACGCCCCCTCTCCAGCAGAAGCAGCCCTTCTCTCCACAAGCGACGGCACCGGCCTTGCATCCCTCTACACCAAACGCAACGGCCGCACCATCGACCCCGCGCCCACCCGCCGCCAGCGCATCGCCTACGTCTGCCTCGACGAGCTCTTCTCCCTCGTCTCCGTCTACAGCGAAGACTCCGTCCGCATCGTCGTCCAGCCGCCCACGCCGGCCTTCCCGCCGCCCCGCTCCGTGCTCTCCGAGGCGCCCCAGGCCCTGCACATCCGCATCGCCCGCACCGCCGCCCCCTTCCTCATCCTCCGCACCGCGCTCACCATCCGCGCCTACATCGCCGACCAGCCCCTCCGAGGCCGCATGCCGCAGCCCCTCTCCCAGCGCAAGGAGCTCCTCCGCGTCCTCCGGCAGCTCGTGGACCTCACCTCCGCCTCGGACGCGATCCCCGACACCCCCAACGTCGAGAGCGACGGTAGGAAACACCTGCTGCGCCTGTACCCGCTGCTCGTCAGCGCGGTCCAGGTGGCGGGCGGCTCCGGCGACGAGGCGGTCCTGAAGCTGTGCACCGAAGCCCTCGAGGTCGTCGGCGGCGAACTCGGGCTTTAAGGAAACATTGATTTTACGTTTTGCTTTTCGTGTACATTCAAGCCTAGATGACTAGACAGACATGCAGCCGGCACCTGATTGTAGATTATTATTCTCGAGACACACAAAATGGATTCTTTTGCTCATTCTATCATTGACTGAGCGCCAAGACTTCAACGTAGTGATGCTCACCGAAGGAAGCCGTCTGACCTGATGCCAAAGTCATTACAGCTCGCTGGCTTCCTGTCGCTTGCTGCTCAATTTTCTGCTCCAACTTCCTCAGCCAACGTCCAAAACATCAACTAACATGAAAAAGCAAGTCCTACGCGCCCCTTACCACTGCATACAACCAAACTTCCCTCCTCCCTCCTCCCAGCCAAGACAAACCGCATGCCGAGGCCATACCTGCATAACTAATATCCGTCCTCACATCCACCAAACAAACACCCACCCCTCAAAACCAAACATGCCGTGTCCTCGGCTCACAGACGGTTCACACACCACCTCTAACCATTTAATCAACTTCATCATGCCTCGTTGACCATCTCACAGCCTTACAACCGTCCTCAAGCCCCCCAAACCCATAAACACAAAACACACAAACCCCAAAACCCCGGGCACAAATCACCCCATCCATCCACCCTTCCCCCGCATCCTCCGTATGCACAAAGGAGCGTGCAACCAACCACATACACCGGAATCCTGCAGCGTCTCAATTGGACAAGCCCTTTCTTCTCCGGATGCACAAATCAGGCAGCGGAATCCCACACGGCCAGACGGCCCGCAACGCCCTTTGCCCTGCGCAGGACTCACACATCAGTTGGGGGTGCCAGCCACGCCGGGAAAGAAGCAAGGTCCACCAACCCGCATGCTTCCTTAATCTTACCCCGTCCTCGTGTCCGCACGAGGGATGGAGGGAGCCTGGCTGTGCCGGCAGTAGTGCAGTGTACCCGACACAATCCGGGGATAGGGTTTAGTGCTGTAGTCTCGGGGAGAAACACTGTGGAACAAGTCCCAAGGAAAGCTTGGGGTGTATTGGCTTTGCATGGCGTGGTGTTGGCGATTTCAGCTCAGAGACGTGGGATGGGAAGAGTAACAGGTCAATTGATTGAACGGCTACTTGAAACGAGAGTAGGTGGTAAGACATGCGCTTCGCGGAACCTCGTCTAGCTGAAAGACGAAGCCCTCGTCGCGATGCCTCTGGTATCATGATCAACCCCCAACAGCCCGAGCCCCCGATCGGTGCCAGGCTCTTATTACATCCACTACCAGGCTAACGAATCCAAGCGGGATTACAAATTGACACAAGAAAGAAGTTATTTTTTTGAATTTTCTGAGTAGCTCGCAGCAGAGGATATCTCAGGCAGCAGTCTTCTCGCTGTGCGCAGCGCGAAGGTTGATGTCCTCCTCGTGGTCGTTGGCATGGATCTCCTTCTCGACCTGGTGCAGGTCGACATGCGCAACAGCCGCGTCGCCGTCGAAGATCTTGGAGATCTCCTCGAGAGTTGGGCCCTTGGTCTCGACGTAGAAGAAGTAGACAAAGACGAGCTCGCAGAAGTCCCAGAGGGTGTAGAACAACATGAAGTTCCAGTGGTTGGGGAGATCGTCCCACGCGATCTTGTTGGTTTGGCTAGGACGATGTTAGTGGAGGACACAGAACAGGTTTTGGATGGTTCAACGTACTTGCCAATGGCTAGAATGGCCTGGACGGTAATGTTCATGATCATCATACCCTTGGCGCGAAGATGGAAAGGCAGAACCTCAAGGGCGTAGGCGATCAGTAGACCGGAGAAGCCAATGTCGTAGAAGATGCCAAAGACCCAGATGAAGACCAGCTGAGCATATCCGGAACCCTGGTTGGTGCCGCCAGAGTTCTCGTAGACGGCACCGGTGATGGTCCAGCAGACGAAGGAGCCGACCATACCGCTGATGGCGACCAGGAACAGAGGACGGCGGCCAAAGTAGTCGACAGTCAAGGCGGCACCGATGGAGCAGGAGAGATCGAGAATCGACTTGCCGGTGGAGATGGCGAGCTTCTGGTTCTGTTCCGTGATGCCGGCCCCTTCGTAGATGGCGTCCATGTAGTTGGAGAAGAGGGCGTTGCCAGAGTACTGTGAGATGATACCCAGAGAGATAATGATGGCCAATCTCCATCGGTTGCCCTTGGTCTTGAGAAAGTCGACGTAGCTAGTCGTACGGTCGGCGTTCCTCTCCATCAAAATGGTCTCCTTCATCTCGCGGAATTCAAACTGAACGGTCGCGTTGTTGTAGTCGCCACCTGCATGGTGCTTCGCCAAGACGGCCAGGGCTTCCTCGGAGCGGTCCTTGTTGATGAGGTAACGAGGCGACTCGGGAACGAACCAGATGCCGATGAGTTGGATGACGGATGGAACGATTTGGATGAAAGTAATCGATCTCCAGCACCTTTTTATTCACTTGTTAGCATGTACAGATCAATGAAGATGGTTGTGTGAAGCTGATCATGATTCAGGGGCTGGGTAAGTATGAATCCATAACATACCAGTCATTGTTGACGTATGAAGTTCCCCAGCCGATACTCGCAACGATCAGGGCACCCAAGTTCCACAAGCAGTTGTAAATGGCAGTGACTGGACCACGGTGTTGAGGGTGGCAGATCTCTGTAAGCAGGAGGGGGGATGACATCTGAGCTAGTGAGTTGCCGAAACCGAGGATAAATCGACCGCCAATGTACACTGGAATTTTGAGTTAGTGCCGTATTCATCGAAGATAGTGCGATTATGAGTTAACTTACTTCCCCAGCCGTTGCAGAAAGCGGTGATGCAACCACCGACAATCATAAAGATACAGCCGCTGATGATGGCTACCTTACGTCCAAAACCGTCGGCTACATAGGGAGTGATGAAGAAGGAGATGATGGAACCGATGTTGAACATGTTGATGAGAATGCCGAGCTTGTTGTTGTCGGAGACGCCATCGCCAAAGTAGTCCTTCCACCGCTGCATCTGCTGGGATGTGTTGACGAGCATACCATCGTAACCGGTGGTGGCCGAGGCGACCATGAGGAAGATTGTCGAGAAGTAGAGCTTGCGAAGGTGAGGCTCCTTCAGCCAGTAGACCTTTTCGAATCGCGGAGCCTCAGCTCGCGCGATCTCGACGTTGTCAGCAACCTGCTGAGAGGCGACGACCTTCTTCACCATGATGGCGGTATTCTGGGGTGTGTTCCAAAGAGCAGGAAAGAACTTGAAAGATGTTAGAGAAGGGTTGAAGTTGATTGACCGACTCGCGGGTGAGGAAAGAGAGCGGAAGTGATCGTGAAGGAGGGCAGGGTCACAAACTTATATCTTTCCCATCTCCAACTACGCCCTGAGCACCCATGCGGGAGCAGCACTTTTTTCTTTTCACCCGCGTTGCTGACCCCGGAGCTGCCTTACTCACCCCATTGGGACATGTGCACCCCCCCATGAAGGGGAAGTCTGGGGGAGGGCGGGGATGACCAGAACAGGGGTTCGCGGCGGCCGGCACGAATTGGCGACATGCGGGTAAAAATGGGCAGAGTGATGGGACATTTTCTTCCCCAGGAGACACCGCGTTCGGAGCGATTCTAGTTCTCGTGCGTGGTGGGCGGGCGTGTTGCCCCTTCTCCGTCTAGCCCTTCGGGAAAGGCCATGCAAATGGCAGATCTCTCATGAGATAGGTCCAGACATGCAGCCGGCGGATTGGTGGGTGCGGCACAGAAGCATACCCTCCAGGTCCGGAACGGACGCCTACAAGGATTTGGCTCCCCTGCATCCTTGATTCGTGGGTTGAGCCTTTTCATGTTGGAAAAAAAGTGCCCAATGTACCATCTATGTGGCACGGAAGCTGGTAGCTTGCATCCCAGCATGCGGAATGGTCATTTGAGAAGATTCGTCTCCGCTCCATCTGTGGAAATGCGACCTCCTCGCACCGACTTCAATGGCGCCCTGGGACTATCTTGTGGCCGGTGCCGTGGCTTGTAGAATATTGTCAACTTGTGCTTTGGCATAGGCAGATTCCTGGTCCAAATCGGAGCACCTTACATCTGCGTTCTCTAAGGACATATTCGAACGCGGTCCTCACGAAGAACCTGAGTTGTGGTTGGTGCCGCATCTCCGGTCCGCCGGCTCATCCTTCGAGGCTAGGCAACAACTTCGTCGTGCTATCCAACTATGTCTTTGTAAATTGAAAATAGATATCTGCTATGCTTCTTGCCCTGCACGTCGCCCGGCAGACCGGTAGTGACACCGCTGCAGTGTAGCGTCGCGCGTTGTTAGGTCTAGCGCATCATCAGGTGTTGGCCAATGAGTATTTGACCTTGATCAAACAGGTAGAACATCATGAGATCCGTGACTACTAGTCATTTCTCAATCTTTGGCGAGTGCGACATTGGCCTAGACTAAGGCAAGAAGGCTGGGATACACGCATGGCCATGCTGCAGGATGCCCAAAAACTTAACATGAGTAAGCTTCTACCAAGATATGTGCCGTTGAGTACCAAGCGAACTTGTGCATGAAAAGAACGAGGAACTAACGTACCAGATGATTGTTAACAGCCCTGCCTGGCCTCTGGAGAAGTGCGGTTTAGGTGTCAAGCTGATCTGGGGAGCATGTGGCTTCACGAGTAGGTCTGTCCGGGAGAAAAGGCCGGGAAAAGGCAAAGACATTTAACCATGTAAACTCCATTGGTTAGAACGTCATGGAGGGATCGATTGTTGGAAGCGAGAGTGTGTCGAGACGACGCGGGATAGAGTTGGGGTCCTTTGGTTCGAAACGTGGAGCCTGGGGAAGAGCTACAACAGACGGCTGCGTGCTGCATTATGCTCGTTGGTGGACTTCGGTTACGAGAGACCAGCTGTGGCAGTCGATGAAGCGGGTGAAAGTCGAGATGGTGGTGGGCTAAGCTTGATGACTGGATTCGTCTGGGTCCGGCCATGCGGGTGGGAGGCGCATGGCGCTTTAGCGAGACTGCTAGAAATCCGGACCCTTGACCGACCAGTCACCTCGTCAACGGCTTTTCCCTCC